TTCAAACTGCAGTCCACCCTTTTGGGAAATTAAACGGTAAGGTGAGTTATACTCATGTCATGTTTTTGCCACTTAGCTGACAAATGATCGAAATGATTCTTTGATTCTTATTTTATTAGGAAATATAATTTTTCCAAATCTAAAATAATGCAAAGTCTAGAGTGTAACTACTTCTTATCGGGTCTACCAGCGAGATAATGATTAAGTGTGCGTAATGCGCATGCACTTTCCCACGGCTGACCAAAGGCCAACGGTTCTCGTCTGTTTCTTAACAAGTTTTAGATGTATCCGCGAGGCCATAATGTTTCCTTTATTAAAATAACAACTTTCCGATATATTTTTATTGTCAAAATTGCCTATGAATAGGTGAAAGTAAATAACGGATGTATAAGCATCTCAAGAATTTATAAAAATTAAATATTATTTAATGAATATCTATACTGCTGTATCTATCAATCTCGTAATCAAGTCAAATGTTTAATCTGGACATTTCATGAGACCAACAGTTAACGTCGGTGATGATATTTTTTAATGCTTTTTTATCTTTCACAGGCCCGTTATCATGCAAACTCTACAACTTGTGCGACTGGCATTGTGGCGGCTTTGACAGAATCCGAGGTTAGATGCTCTATCCTTGAGGGGGATAATTCCACTGAAAAGGCTCAGAGAACTGCTCTTAGCTCAGACTCGGCTTTGTTTGCCCAATCAAACATACCCTGTGGAAGTCGTAGCGCCAGCACCACCGGTCATATCCCCAACAGTCTTTCATCTTCGAATACAATGCTTCTAAATAAACGCACATCCTTCAAGGCCAAAGCAAATATTGGATTAGTTTCTCAATTATTTCATGATCAGTCTTTAGAAACATCAGCTTCATCCACTGGACCGACGACTTTCACACAAACCTTGCCTTCTAGCATGCCGCTAGCACTTGCTGATGCTGATTATTCCGGACAGCCCAGTTGGATCATTCCCACTCCTGAAGCTTCTGCTATTTGTGAATTGTTAGGACCCTCCTCTCAACCAAATGACACAGATAAGATGGAAAAGAATGGTCATTCTGTTTTGGATGGCTTGCCTTCTAAACTGAATAGTCTTGCTGTGTCACAGAACTCTACGTCGCCACAGGGGCCAAGGACTTCAGCTTGCAGAGCGCACTCTCTAGTTCAGCCCTTTCTCTCTAGATCTCTGAGTCCTGTTGCTAAGACCGAAGGCTCTAGAGCCACAGATAGTATTCATTACAAGCCTATCAAGAGCACTCTTCCATCGGCTTATGCCGGCCACTGGAGCTTGGCTTCTGATTTGACAAGCTCTAAATCCTTTGATGGATCGACAAAAAATCTCGTGTCTTCAAATGACGCAAACATCTCCACAACAGATATGGTCTCTATCATAAAAACTTGCCCCTTTTTCAGTACTCCCGCTGCTAAACTGGAATACGACCTTATGCTTTCTCCTCAGCCCGGCCATGCGAATGTTATTATGGATGGACAATCAAGCGTATCCAAAGCTGACTTAGGAAGACAGAATGAGCTTACTTTGTATAGTCCAGCTTCTGATTTTGGTTAGTATACATATTTGGTGTTTTTTTTTCAAATAGCCCATAGCGACTTTTTAGAATTATATGAGTGGAAAGGATTCGTAAGTTGGTTCCACCGGAAGCTGTGTGGGGATTGTCTTCGTGATGTGATGATAGATTTGTTCGATTAGGTCTTCGGAGCACCGCCTTGCGACCCCGATGCTTCTTTATTGAGTTTAAGTCCGTCATGTGACGGACATTGTCAGAGCAGGGCACCATGCTTAACGATAATTCACCAAAACACCAAGGCAAGGTGGCCGGCTTCAAATCTACCTACTTCTGATCCTATTTGGTCCACTTAGGCATTTCATGTTTTGGTTGGATGTCCTATGCTTTGCCTATATGTTTGCTAATAAGCTTAGTTACTGCGGATGAAATGTGAAATGGCTGCAGATGAAGCGTAAAACGGGCGCAATAGTAACCGAACTGCTGTATCCTCCGCTAAAACATGCAAGGTTACTGTATGCGATTACGTCCAATGGGATGTGAGTTGTGTGAGTGCAATGCTCTTGAAATGAATGCAATGCGAGATTCCAAACCAGATTCGAGCCTTATCAAGCCTCCTTCTCTTGATCGGTAGTACTTCTCGTCACCCTTCTCTTTAATTATATCCAACAGCTTCAAGTCGTTTCCACTGAACTTCCTACACTCATTCATTCTATTCAGGGTGTTGCGTGTTGTGTTGATTTCTATCACCTCTAATCCTTCGCTTACTGGTATTGTCCCCATATCCAGCTGTTAGCGTTTGGCATTATATCAGTCTATATGATATTCTGTGCGAACCATGTATTCAGCCAATTCCGTTTTTTTTACCCACATACCTTTGCAAGCTATTTTGTTTTCGGATAACCTTTCATGTATGGGCCTATAGGTCTTTCCCACAGGCGCTACCACATGAAAACAAAATCCTGTAACAGCCCGATCTGAAGAGCAGATCACAATATTCTCGAAATGAAAACAGTACCGGGGAATGTTTTATTCTATCTTTACAAATGGTCCTGATGGCCCACCTCAGTGACTCGCCTATATTCGACAAATTACACGATGTCAGCATAAGGATTCTTGTAGAGTGGTCAAACTTTTTATCTAGCCCCCTAAATGCATTTACCTCCATCCTATTTGACAATATCCTAATTTACTTGCCAACCAGTTCTTGTGGATACTTATTCTCAACCAGAATTCTCTCTAGTCTCCTCAATTCCTCGTCCCGATGCTTAATACATGACAGTCGCAGACTCATTATTATCATAGACTTCATAATTCTTATTTTAACTCCATAAACGTAGTTGGGAAAGAAACTCAGATGGAAATCTACATTAGTGGGTTTCCTATACATTTCTCTACATAATCTGGTCCCCTCCTTGCTAAATAGGACATCAAGGAAAGGAAAATCACTTTTTCCAACTCGATGGTGAATTTCGTCTTCTCATCTATCATGTTCATCAAACTAAAAAAAATTCCCCTGGTTTTCTTTGCCATGCTGCTAAATATCAAAGTAGTTGTGCATATAGCGAATTTATAATTTATTAACTAATAGTACCTCCTGAATTTAGCGTTCCTCAAATTGAATCATGTAATTATTTGCTAAAATTTGTAACAAACACGATCATATAACCTAACCTAATGACACAGTTTTACCATTAAATGTAAAATATATACGGTCATCTCTAGGTTGGTTAGTATCATTATTGATACTT